CCCCAAAACCCCAAAACCCCAAAACCCCTTTTAGCTCAAAATTATTGAATGAATTTTAATATAAGTTAAATTATTAGAACCTTAATTTATAATATTAAAAATGTCTGAAGGTAAGTGAAAGATATCCAAAATTACAATTTGCCTCACTAGCTTAGGCCAGATTCATTTTATGTGCACTCAAGAGGTCTTCGGGCCAGATAAATGCCATATACAGCAAATTTTATTAATTTTTACTATTTCTCTCTATTGTTAATCCTTACTAAAATTTTATATAGGAACTACAAAGAAGAACATTCCTGATTACACAGGAGCAGGAGAATTGATTGAAGAAATGAAACATGCTGGAAAATCTGAGGATATACTGGAGAGCAACAAGAAAAAGACTATCTATGAGCAACAAGATAGTTACAGACAACAGAGACATTTAGGCCAAATGTCACCTGAGAGACAAGATTACTTTGACACTAAGGCTAAAAAGAAGAAAGGTGCAAGAAGCTATGCTGACATCCATGCAGAGAGTAGTACTGAGAATCAGACAGAAGGAGCTCACAAGAACCTTAAGAGAGCAAGAATGGATGAAGGGTCAGAGAGTATGACTAAGAGCATTGAAGATATGAGAAAAGGAGGATCAATTAAGATTAAGTCGGTGAAACCTCCTCCACCACCAAAGAATTGGGATGAGATGGAAGGAGAAAAGAAGCCAACTACTAGTACTTTTACAACACCATCTGGTAAAACTCCATCCAAATGGGACACTCCAAAGAGAGTTGGAGCCACTCCAACAAGATCTAAATGGGAGATGACTCCCTCCGGAACCCCATCAAAAGGAGGTAGGTTTGGAGAAACCCCAACTCCAGGAAGAATGAGCACAGGAGGATTTATGGGTGAAACACCCACTCCTGGAAGAATGATAATGACTCCTTCAGGATCCATTAAGTCAAGATGGGATGCTAAGCCTGAAGGAACTCCATCTAGGCCAGGAACAACTCTTGGATCTTTTGCTGCTACACCTACAGCAAATGAAGTTTTGAGTAACTCCTTACCTTATTGGAGCAGAGGGATGAAAGATGATAGAAATACTCCTCTGACTGATGAAGATCTGGACAAAATTCTACCAAAGGATGGTTATGAGATTATTAATCCTCCTGAAAGCTACAGACCCATTAGGACACCTTCAAGAAAGTTAGATGCTACTCCTATGCATCAGTCTACAGGTCAGTCCGGGTATCAGGTTCCAACAGACACTGGAAAGCCATATGAGCTTGCTTCAATGACTCCAATTGAAGGAAAGGATGGTCTTCCGTATATTAAGCCAGACGAGGTTGATCACTTTTCAGCTCTGCTCACAGAGGTTGATGAGAAGAAGCTCACAAATGAAGAAATTAGAGAAAGAAAAATTATGATGCTGCTTCTGAAAGTCAAGAATGGAACCCCTCCAATGAGAAAGATGGCTATGAGAACTATTACTGAGAAGGCAAAAGAGTTTGGAGCAGAAGCGCTATTCAAACAGATTATCCCTCTTCTCATGAGTCCTAGTCTTGAAGAACAGGATAGACACTTGTTGGTTAAGGTCATTGATAGAATTCTCTATAAGCTGGATGACCTGGTCAGGCCATACACTCATAAAATCTTGGTGGTTATTGAACCATTGCTCATTGAAGAAGACTACTATGCTAGAGTTGAGGGAAGAGAGATCATTTCAAACCTTGCTAAGGCAGCAGGATTAGCTACTATGATTTCTGCGATGAGACAAGATATTGATAACAAGAATGAATACGTCAGAAATTGTACCTCCAGAGCTTTCGCTGTTGTATGCTCTGCTCTAGGAGTTCCAGCTTGCCTTCCATTCTTAAGAGCTGTCTGTAACAGTAAGAAGAGTTGGATAGCAAGACATACAGGTATCAAGATCATCCAGCAAGTTGCTATTCTTATGGGATGTGCTGTTCTTCCTCATCTAAAGAACTTGGTTGATATCATAAAGCATGGATTAAAAGACGAGCAGCAAAAAGTTAGAACCATCACAGCCTTGGCTATTTCAGCTCTTGCAGAAGCAGCTCATCCATATGGTATTGAGGCCTTTGAAGGATCCTATGCTAGCTCTAAAGGAAATGACTGTGTCATTATTACTCTTTGGGATGGTATCTGCATCTACAAAGGTAAAGCCCTTGCTGCTTTCTTAAAGGCTATTGGATATATTATCCCATTAATGAACCCAGATCATGCTGGAAAGTACACAAGATACGTAATGGATATTCTCAAGAGGGAGTTCTCTAATAATGAAGAAGACATGAGAAAAATTGTTCTCACAGTTGTCAGACAATGTGTTTCCACTGAGGGAGTCGAGGCTAATTATGTAAGAGAGGATATTATTCCAGAATTTTTCAGATGTTTCTGGTCTAGAAAATCTCCATCCCTTATTAGAAACTCAAAGCAGTTGGTTGATACTACAGTAGAGATTGCCGCAAAGGTTGGAGGAGCTGAAATCCTTAGAAAAATAATTGATGACCTTAAAGATGATAATGAGAACTTTAGAAAAGTTGTGATGGAAACCATTGAGAAAATCTGTGGAACCCTTGGAGTTGCTGATATAAACTCTAGACTCGAAGAAAAGATCATGGATGGTATCCAATACGCATTCCAAGAACAGTTGTCTGATGATACCTACATCATGCTTAATGGGTTTGGAACAGTTGTCAACTGCTTTGGCACTAGAATGAAGGCTTATATTCCTCATATATGTGGTACAATTCAGTGGAGATTGACCAATAGATCTGCAAAGGTCAGACAGCAGGCTGCAGATCTCATTACAAGAATTGCCGTTGTCATGAAGAAGTGTAATGAAGAAGGCCTCATGGGAAGACTTGGTATCGTCCTGTATGAAAATCTCTCTGAAGAGTATCCAGAAGTGCTCGGCTCTATTCTTGGAGGACTCAAGGCCATTGTTAATGTGATTGGTATGACTAAAATGACTCCTCCTATTAAGGATCTTTTACCAAGACTGACCCCAATCATGAAAAATAGACATGAGAAAGTGCAAGAAAATTGTATTGATCTTGTTGGAAGAATTGCAGATAGAGGGCCAGAATTTGTATCTGCAAGAGAGTGGATGAGAATCTGCTTCGATCTGTTAGATTTACTGAATGCTCACAAGAAAGCAATTAGAAGAGCTACTGTGAATACATTTGGATATATTGCTAAGGCTATTGGTCCTCATGATGTACTTGCTACTCTATTGAATAATTTAAGAGTCCAGGAAAGACAGAACAGAGTATGTACTACAATTGCTATTGCTATTGTAGCAGAGACTTGTGGGCCATTTACTGTTCTCCCAGCACTAATGAATGAATACAGAGTTCCTGAAATGAATGTACAAAATGGTGTATTGAAATCTCTATCTTTCACATTTGAATATATTAGTGAAATGGGTAAAGACTATATTTATGCTGTGACTCCACTTCTTGAGGATGCTCTTTGTGATAGAGATCTTGTCCATAGACAGACTGCTAGTTCTGTTGTTAAGCACATGAGTATTGGAGTTGCATATCTTGGATGTGAGGATGCTCTTGCACATCTTTTAAATTATGTCTGGCCAAATATCTTTGAAACCTCTCCTCATGTAATTGGTGCTGTACTTGAAGCAATTGAAGGTTGTCGATTGGCATTAGGTCCTGGCAGGCTCTTATTGTACATCCTACAAGGTCTTTTCCATCCTGCAAGAAGAGTTAGAGAGATTTACTGGAAGATTTACAATAATATGTATCTTGGATCTCAAGATGGGCTTGTTTCAGCTTTTCCTAACTTTGAAGATGAACCTGACAACTCCTACAGAAGACATGAACTTGAACTTTTTATCTAATATAATACCAAATTCAAGCCAATTGCAATTATCAGGGGTTTTGGGGTTTTGGGGTTTTGGGGTTTTGGGGTTTTGGGGTTTTGGGG